GCCGGCTAGATCAGGCATGATCATGGCCGTAACAAGAGACATTGCAAGGATATCTCGGGCGGTCCAAGATGGACGACTAAAGTGCTTTGAACACTTAAATCACACCGGGCCCTCTCTTCCAACCCTTGTCATTTTCAGAGGGCAGACAACTGGAGATCGCGTGCGGTTCATGTTGGCAGACCATGCACAAGGCCCCTTCAGTGCCTATCACACCAGTCCTGATATTTCGACCCAGATGACGCTTGTCGTAAAGTTCCTATTAGCGGTTCGGAAAACTCCATCGTCTCGGTAGCCCGTAGAGCCGTGTTTTTTTGCTCGCGTCATCTCGAACATGCGTCGCATTCATTGTTGCAAGGCATGGTTTTGTTTTCTCCCTCCGCCATTAATCCCCTGAAGAAGTCCGGGTCACTTCAACTGAAGCTGGTGATTGGTCATTATTGCCGCATTGAAGGACCATGAATAAAGGATGCCACAGGCAGAAAGCTTGCACCAACATCAAGGTAGGCCACACTGCCTTGGGTTCGCCCTGTGAGTCTGGAACAGAAATATCGGATTTCGTGCAGCTCGCATGCTGTTGGAGCAACAACTGAAGTTCTAGAGATCAGCAGTTTGAATTCATCTTAGGGTAAAATATGATGGTAAAAAGCCCTAAAATAGTCCGACTCGGTAAACGTACCTTTTTAGATTGTTCCTTCTCAGACCTGCACAGCAATTCGCGACAAGGCAGCGGTGTTCACCCTTCTCTGCTCTACCATAACTTGTTACTACCGTGCAGCCTGACGATGTATAGTTGAAGACCTACGTCTGGCGAATTCGTTTGTTTTTCTGTCTCTTATTAATAGGCGACGACCGTCTGCAGCTGAATAAGAGGTCACGAAATCTCTGACATCATTAAATTCTGCTAATCTAGTTATCTTTGCCTTGACTTGGTATCGTTTTTTTTTCATCTGACTTCTCAACAAATAATTATCGATCATAAGAATTGCCGGTTACCAGGGGTTTCATCTGCGGGACGAATTAGATGCTTACTTACTGACATGGCATAAGGGCGCAGTCTGCCTTATATTACGCGCGTCCTTCGCCCGCTCGGTTTAGTTAGTCGTGTCTGTGGCTCTGTGAAAGCCGTGGCTGCGTACGCCCCCAACGCCTCTATGCAGTGTTCATAACTTTCCACACCGGAGTTAAGCGTGGAGTCGTTTTCTGGGACTGAAAACATCTACATGTGGACTTTCTGTGCAGAGAAGGCTGTAACCGCGTCCTGTTAGCAATGGTTGGCTAGGTTTTCTGCTTCCGAA